ATATAGCATCTAGATGGAAATTTATAGTGTTTGTCGAAATTGTTGGAAATTTATAGCCAAAAACCCAACAATTCTTGCAGTAGGCAACACTGTCCTGAAAGATTTTTGTTTCGTAATATTAGAACCAAAGAAGAATTTTCTTCTGAGATAACTGTACCTAAGATGCTAAATAAGATTGTTGAAGACGGTTTCTCTCTGTTCAGGAACCAAGGTCCCGTAGTGGACTGATCGTTAAGACACGGTTCCCAGCAGATCACCGAAGTCAAGCATCACTGGCTGCGGTCAGTGTGCGGGTGGGTGACCACTTGGATCAGTCTGCGTAGGGCCCGAGGGTGTGCGGTATTGGTCCTCGTTAAACTGTGCTACCGTAAAGTGCTCGACATCGCGCGCAGGTCATCGGGCTGCCGAAGCGGGGGTGCCATCCCCTCAGCAGAGGATCAAAATTGTGATGGCATGTCTTCGGATCATCCTCCGCGGTGTTTCCCAGACCGTCGCCAATAGCCCATTGTGCAGCTCTAGTGCGACGTAAATTAACAACAACAACATCAAGAACCAAGAAATTTCAAGAGCGTGTACTTTGTTTTCGAGGTTAAATTCCTTACTAATGTCTGAAACTGGAGTTTCTAATGGAAAGTTTCTGAGAATGAACTTGGTTGTAACACATTCCAAAAGGCATTTAGCCGATACTGGGACTTCGAAAATATTTTTAACCTGTGAGATGTATTTCGCAGTTTCCAGGTCCGGAGATTGGATTAACAATGACCCGCTTCTTTAAAAGCTTAGGCTTTTTGTTCTTTTGGTCGGTACAGATATGACTAAGTCCAATTTAAGGCGTACAGGGGAGGTCTGGAGTATAGTACAATATTTATCTATGGCTTCGATGCTTAACTGTATGTCAGTTGCACCATTATTTTTGGCATGAACCAGGATATCTTCTACGGGCTCATTGGAGTACTACTGCTGTGGTGGATCTAAAAGGCTGGTCATTTTTAGCAGGATAGCCCCCAAAAAGTATAGAGTCAATGTAGCTAAACTGTCTCTTGGTATTCCAAAAAAAGACACTATTTATCACATTACCAGTATTCCATAGGTCCACACTTGGCACCCTTCTTGCCTGACACAACTAGCCAAACAATGCTTCTCTGAACATAACAGGAATTCCAGCAACTTCAGCGTGATCTGTTTAAAATACGATTATTTAGTTAAATTTTTAATACAAATTCCAACCAAAACAACAAAAAAACTGCCCCGACTAGGGACTTAAGATAACATCATATCCGCTTCAACGATCCATATCAAAGTCCCCGACAACCAAAATGCATTACACGGGTTTATGCCAACATTCTCCATACAAAAGTAATCTCTATATGTCTTATATAACCAAGCATACATTTAATATGCTATCAGAACCACTTACATAATAAGGGTAAAAAACCATAAAAATTACACTTACTATTGATAAGTAATTTATTTATAAATGTCCAAAATAAGCTTACAAACAAAGAAATAAATAGGTCAGAAAAGAAAGAAAACTCTTCTCATTTCTTCCAGAGCAAAGCTAAACTTTAGCTTCTGAATCACTTTATTCATACTTGTAATTTGGCATATCCGTGAGTATCATAAGCTATTAAATTTAAAGCAGAAAAACACACACATATATATACAGAAACAAAATCTTCCCTATTATCGGAGAAAAATTGTAGCTAATATGACAAATATGAGGAGAAAAAAATATCTTCAAATAGACTGTAAAAACTGTGGTGTAATAATTTGGTGTTGACAAACTCTAAAAATTGTGCGAATGCTTACTTTATTTCAAGGGCCGGGATAATCTGGCTAGTAGGGCTCATGTGCGAGAGTTCGATCCTCGCTGTCCGAAGATTCCCATGTATAAAATAGCGACTGGTGCTCGTTAAATCTGTCGGAGGCGTAAAATCCTCCAAGTTCTAATAACAAATCAATACTTCTGGGGGTACTGGATCAGATATTGATCATGCTTAAGTTAAAGTCAAAATTACGATATGCAGGTGAATGGATGGTGTGTGTCCTCCCTGTAAAACGAGACGTGACGTTTATATGTTGTCCCAGGATCATCTTCAATGATGTTTCGCAGACCATCACCAATAGCCTAATAGGCAGCTCTAGCGAGACGTAAATAAAAGTATAGTACCGTATTTTATTTCAAGTTAATGCTGAACCGAGTGCTCATATACACTTTGAAAAGTGTAGTTTAATCTTTATAACAATAATTGATAAAGCTTACATCAGATTCAGGCAAATTTTTTCCATTCATTAATTATTTTCATCAATTTTGGCATACGTTGTAAAATCATAGGACGGCAACGGTAGATTGTTTATAAATCGGGAATTCTTTCTGATGCGTTTTGGATGACAAATGAAACGTCAGCCATCTCTTCCAAATAAATTCAATTTGGATTCATCACTCCAATTCTTAGGTGCCCATGTTTAGTTGGACCTTCTTGCAGTCTTTAGTTGCCCATGTTTCGAGGCTAACGGATCAATCGGATCATCTTATTCTTTGTTAGGATGAGAGGTTTTTTATTTTTATTTTTTAAAACAGGAACCCATGCACACAATCCAGCTGCATTCAGACTACGTCTTATGGTGTGTTTACTCACGGTGAATCCATGTTTAGGAGAAATCCTCTTGCATATTTGATTAGCGCTCTTGTTCTTGTCAGCACCTGACTTTCTTCTGATTATCGCATCTTGACGTTGAGTCGTTTTTCTTGAAGCTATTGATTTTGAAAGATCGCGCACACTTTTCCCATCCTTCAACTATTTAATATGCTGTCAACAGTTGTTTTTGGAATTTCAAACTAGGTGGCTATAGCAAAATACGAAACTAATCGAAGGAAGAGTACACAAAGACGCGTTTTTCCCTGCCTTCATATTGAAGATGATAAAATAAACACCAATATTTTCACTTAGGAAAGAAAATTCTAATGCTGTAAGGATTAATCAAGTGAGTTTCGCACACGACAATGTGGCTATAAGTTAGTTGCGCATACAAAAACCCAACTGAATGATTTCCTAGCTTTATATACGGAGCATCGCATACTCTAGAACATTCTAGGAAAGTAAGAATACGTAAATATAATTTGCATATCTGCGCAAAGTTATCGAAAGTATGAAACCATTTACATACAGCTTTTATGGAAAGAAAAATAACGAAATCACCATATAAAAGTCAGGAACTGGATTTAAACCTGCATATTTTGTGTGGAATTCTTTTGCTCTAACCACTAAGCTATAAGAGAACTTTTCTGTGAGAAATTATTACACGTATTTATATTAAGTGTTAAAAAATAGATAGTGCTAGGTCCCGCAGTGGACTGATAGTTAAGACACGGTTCCCAGCAGATCACCGTAGTCAAGAATCACTGGCTGCGGTCAGTGTGCCGGTGGGTGACCACTTGGATCAGTCTGCGTAGTGACCGAGGGTGTGCGGTATTGGTCCTCCTTAAACTGCTCTACTGTAAAGTGCTCGACTTCACATGCAAGTCGTCGGGCTCTGCAGAGGATCAAAATTGTGATGGCATGTCTTCGGATTATCCTCCGGGATGTTTCCCAGACAGTCACCAATAGCCCATTGTGCAGCTCTAGTGCGACGTAAATGAACTACAACAACAACAACAAAAAGATAGTGTTAGATCGTCTCAAAACTTTTGATTTCAAGTTCTCAAATTCTCTTTTGTTGTTTGTCAAATTAAAAATTTTCAAATTTCCCCATGTAGGATGACCAAATCTACAAATTACTAATTTACATCATTAAAAAAATTTACTTGGAGAGAAAGTTAGAGCAGAAAAATATATCATTTCGAAACTTTTCCTACTTGTTATACATACGAATGTATGCCACTCACAAAAAAATTTGATACTAGATGTTTTTCTCTAGCTAAAAGCTATTAATGTGTAAAATTTAACCGTATATTACTTCAGTATGAAGGGCTAAGGGCAATCTAAAAATAAGCTTCATTTTAAAATTGTTCAGGAGAGCTCGTCTGGCAATAAAAGATCATGAATTCCATATAGACATTAAGATATCCTCCCTTATTATGATAAGATCACTTAGAAAATGAACGCATCGATACCTATCTGGAAACAATATTATGGAATAGTTTAATGTAAAATTGCTTCCTTTGAAAAATTATAGTTTAGCACCACATTGCTTCCCGTCCTACATATGTAGAGCGTCTCAGAAAGAAAAAAAATTTAATGAATATTTTTAGAACTCTAGCCTTAAATAATTTCATAATGATCAACATAGCCGTCGCATTAAATGTAAAAACAAAGCATCAAAAAACTGTAAAGTTTCTTTTTAACATAATGAACTTTTTTTAAATTTAAATATCGAGTTTTCTGCAAATATTTTTTGTAATATATTGTAAAGCTTTCAATACGAAAAAATAAGCTTTAAAAGTTTTTATTATTGACATTTTCAAATGCCTTCCCAAAAAGAATAAATAAATAAATTATATTTTGGAAACACGAAATGAGTCGTCGAACTATTTTGTAATGTTTAAATTTTTCATTTCCCGCTCATCTTTTCAATTTAAAAAACACTGATAGTAAAAGAAAGAGAAAATAGCAAAGCCAAATCCATTTTATTCATCAAACTACACTGTATTTATTTAAAATAATAAAAGCAGAATTTCTTTTCAAATATGATTACGACCTCAAAATATTTTAATCACTAAAGAAGTACTTTTTTTTCAAAGCGAGTGCATAAATGGAAAAGAATTAGCTTGTCCTTACCGATAGAAAAAAAAACTAACTACATGGATTACACAAAATCCAAATAGTGACTTCGAAAAACACGAGAAAAATTCCGGATTAACTGGATTATATTCTTTTGAATTCGATCCTTCCATCGGCCCTTCTTTTTTTATTACTTTTGCTGCCCGATTCAGCGTGAATCTGATGAAGCATGCGCAGAGGTGTCAGCGCCCCTTTCATTGGGGCGCAGCGGTCCGAAAAATAGAACAGACACAACCAGGCTGGCATGGTTGACAGCTGAGCCAGTGGAGTTGGCCCCGGTAGAGTCTATGGCCACGATGTTCTTTTACGAAGATACAACAACTGAAAACTAGATCGGGAATTGGGCATGCTACAGTTGCTATTGAAGGCGTTGATTCGCGCACTTGATTATGTTCATCTTTCATTCTTCATCGAAAAGTCACAGTGAGTGAGATAAAATTTATCTTCTCATGTCGTTTCTTTTCTTTCTTTCCTTTTATCTTTTCCTTTTTTAAATTGGCCACATGTTTGCTACAATCGTCGTCTTTACATTTTCTTTCGTGAGGATCAGTACAAATTTTATTTCATGGAAATAATATTTATATTTTAAAACTTTTTGATCTATAGCATTGTAGCTTCCCTAAAATCATATAATTTCATTCTAGTTCAGATAGTTCCAGTTTTATATAATAATATTTGACTTAATTGATTAAATCTAACCTTCAAATTGAAACATCCTAAGTATTTCAATGGTTAAAAATATCTCGAATTCAAGAGTAAAATATTATTTCAAAAATAAAAAAGTCACCATTAAATTTTTTGTGCATACATTTTTTTACATTCATATTAACTTGGATCTTCATAAAACATTTTATACATAAAATTAAGATAAATTGGTTACGATATAATCTCAAAATTGGTTATTTTTATAATTTTGGTAAGGTTTAAATTGAAAAACAAATGGTGAGTTATTTTTGAAATGTATTTTAAGCAAAATCTTTAGAATTAATATCGAGCACTTTGTCCAATTACTGGTTGTTAAGTAATGCTAATTATTGCGTTGTTGTCTTAAGTTTAAACACAGCATTTTTAAAATGTTGAATATGAAAATTCAATTATAGTATTCTAAATGGATTTTATTTCAAAAAATATGACTCATTCTCTCTTCATTAAAAATCATTCCATATATGGCAACCTATTAAAAATATAAGCCTTTTCATTTAATTTAAAATAATAAGATATCGATATTTAATTTTTAAACAAAATATTACTTTTGTTATTGTTTTCATGATTTTCAGTATGGTAATAATTTAAATAAAAATATTAAAATTTCTTAAGCAACTCCCCATTAAAATGCGTGTCTGCAATAATTTCATTAAAATAAAATTAATAAGAAATTTAATTTTTTTATTAATAAATGTTTTTATGAATAAAATCTATAATCATGATAACTCTTTACTAATGCATTAAGCTCGTAGTTTTTATATTATTCTTATATAAGTATATACGTACTAATCACTAACCTGATTAATACTGCAAAAGTCATAATTGCTATTTTAAATATATAAAATCATATTTTAAATACAATATACATAACAAATATGCTATTTATTTTTGGACAGAAAATTCTATTTAAGCAAAAATAACTAAAATGTACTCATTCTAAAACGATCTCTTTCCATGTGATTATATAAAGTTTTGCTCTAACTAAATAATTGCAAACAATTTAAATAAATTTTACTGAAATTAATAATTTTATGTTTCGAGCAAAATTTTGTTAATTCATCCGTTAAGTGTGGCACTTAGTAATTAAGTATAAATAAACTATATTAGATGCATATGCTTTTTGATTAAATTAAAAAATCTTTATTTAAATAAAAAAATATTATTTATGTGCTAAAATATTATTTTAACTGAGGTAAGTGTAGGTTTTTAGCAGAATTGGATAATTATTTTGAAAGGTAAGAGTAGCTAATTTTTTTATTTAGACTTTGAAAGAAAGTCACTGATACAACGGCTCATGCAGATGTAAGATTTGTGGCCAGATAAAATGAGCTTCAATCAATTGGTAAGATATAAATAGATATATTCTATTAGTTATAGATTTTACAAGGTTCAGGTTTTATATACATTTAACTTTGTTGGCTATTTTAATTTTATATAATTTGAATGAATCCAGATCACTATCAAAATTCCAAGCTGGACAAGTAACTATTTTCTTTATTCTTTTAAATTTAAATTGTTTTGCTGCATATGTTGTAAGATTAAGAAAGTGATATTTCCTTCGACTTTAACTTCTTCGAAACTTATTATTCTTAATGAATTGCTTTAGTTTACTTTTGAAAAAAATTATATAAGTATTTCTTTTAAAATGTATATTGTTCAATGCTTTATGTTTTTAGTTTTTTTATAATGTTTTTAGATGCATCTTTATAAATCAAAACAAAAGTTATAATTTTATTTGTAATACTCACTATAATTTCAAACGTCAAAAAACTAAAGTAAATATCTGATTTCATTGTTTAACCATATGTTTGTCAATGTTAAAAAAATGAGTGTCCCTTAATTATCAAAATCGAACATTTTCTCGAATATGTTTCAATTTTATCTGCTTGAAGACAAATATTTATAAAAATTTACGACTCAATTTCTTTAAAAATATAAGAAATATTAAAAATTAAATTTACGCAAAACTTCTTACTGCCACATACTGCAACTAGGCATTTATTGCAATATTAGATCTCCCTCAGTAAATATTTATAGATTCCTTGTCAAAAATGAAGTTAAAGAAGCATACACACTAAGGGTCGCCACTTCATATTTAAACAGAAAAAAAGCAAAATTGCTATATAAATCTGCTGAATATCTTATGAGAAAAATAGAATAAGAATCATCAAAACCAGTTTGATTGTGAGATGAGACTTGATGCTGTTTTTAGCAATCACCATTCAACTTCTATCTGTTTAATCCACTGATATAATGGTTTTTAATCTTTTAATGCCATTTTATGGCACCAAACACAACAATCATTCTATCTAATATCATTAAACCGAAAATATCAAAAACTGGTTGATTAAAACAGATATGAGTTAAATGGGGATTATAAGAAATAGATCCAAGCTTCATAAAACAATCTTACTATTCTCTTTAAAAGTGACTTCATACATTTCGACTGTATTTTTGTTTTTTCTTCACCAAAATATTTATTGACAACCCCTTATGCATCTTAATTTCTTAATCAATTTTTCAAAAATTCTACAACTACATACTAATATTAGCCATTTAAAAACACATCAATGGAATTAATTATTAAGTAACAGCTTAGGTCAAGATGAAGCAATAGCATTACAAACATTTTAAGTAAACCAAGAGCATAAGGAAACCTCTTTATTACGAAAATAATCAGTTTAATGCTATTTTACGCCTACTGAAAATATAAATACGCCTACTGAAAATAAGAAATACCTCACAAACTTGAGATTTACATCGGTAGTTTTCTCATAGATTTACTACTATAATATGTTTAAAGTTATGGAATAAGTCAGGAATGGTTATTTAGAATAACTTTCGTACAAAAAGACATATGGAAAATTTTACATAAAATTAAAATTTTTCAAAAGATTTATAATAAGGATAACGGCTTTCAGATAATTTGCTTCTTTAGTTATTTTGAAAAGTAACGAAACCATGTGTATGAAAAAAGTATCATTATAATGAATGTTTAATAATTTATAATAATTTGTTTCCTAAAATTTTAATAATAAACTATTACTTATATGCTTCGAAAAAAATAATAATCTGTAATCGTGTTATCAATTAAAAATATTTTAGCTCTTTCGAACATTAAGAATACTATTTTTATTCAAGAATAAAATATTAATATTTCAAGTTTTTCTCCTCAAAGAGCAGCATAAAATTTAAAAATAAATTTAATTACCACTTATATCCTTAATTCAAACAAATACAATTTTTATAATATTCCTACTAACAAGAATCGAAAGCTGAGAATGATTTATTAAAATTTTTATGGTCATATAGATTTTACCTGCTTGTTTTCAGAAAGCTCCGAAGCAAATTTAAATTTTCTCTCAAAAATTTTGAGGTAAATGCATATGGTCAAAATTATAAATGAAACGAAAAAAATACTTCTCGCTGTTTTTATTTTAAGCTGCATGAATGCATTTTCGCTTATAATGCGATTACAAATGAATTAAAGTCATTTCAATTACTATTTATATATAAAGTTCTACTTATTTTCTAGAATCGTAAATTCAATAGCAATAAAGTGCCAAAAATAGATCTGCAGGTAAAGAATACTTTCTAGTCTAACGGTCATAATCACTTGTTGATCACGTCTAAAGGAGCCTATTGCGGATTAATGTTTAACGGTAGAACGGAAAAGAGCTCTACTTTTCTTTCTATCAAATCGTTCTCTTTAAAGAGAGGAGGAAAGAGACTTCGTGTTACACACGCAATATGAGAGAAAAATAATAGCTTTGCGTTTTCAAAGAGAATAACAGAGGTAACAGAAATAACTTCTAGACGAATCTTAAAATGTTCTTTTTCATGTAGTTGTTTAAAAATGTTTCTATTAATCATTATTTATTTAAGTTAAATTCTCCTGTAAAAACTGTAGAATCATATTCCAAGGTGGAGGGACGAAGAATTACCAAGGTTTTTTTTCTCAAGAATATGAATAAAAATAATGTCATGTATTTACATTTGGTATTAAAATACCTCTGGGATATATACATATTTATGAAAAATCTATTAATTAATTTCATATATCACGTGCGAAACAAAAGCGTAGAATCCGTGGAAAACAGTATTTAAATTAAATTCTTCTGTAAAACATGTTGAATCGTATTTTGAGACAGAAAGACGTTGAGAAATACTTAGATCTTTTTATGTATATGAATAAATAACAGTTATACACTTAGATTAGTTATTAAAATATTTCAGGCATAGATATATTTAATTACAGAAAATGTATATTTGCTATCATGTAGGCCGAATTATAAATACTATCATTAAACCCGAGCAGCACTAAACCGTGTAATCAGTGGAAAACCATTTTTAAATTGAATTCTCCTGTAAAACTGTAAAATCACATTTTACGGTGAAGGGACCAGTAAAATTACTCAGTTTTTTTAAGAAAATGAATAAGGACCATTTCTGTTCATTTACATTAGGTACTAATATATTTCAGGCACGGATTAAAATTAGTAGAAAATATAGTAACTAATCCATGTGCCACGTGCGAAAATAAATCGGAAAACCGTATTTAAATGAAATTATACTGTTAAAAAGTATAATCGTACTGTTTAAGTTATTGGGCGATTCCACGGTGGTGGAACAATTAGAATTTTTGAAGTTTTTTATGAATATGAATAAAAATACTTTTTTGTATTTGAACTTGGTACTAAAATATTTCAGATTTACAT